TTACACATGGACGTTGTGACAGTGATTCTATAATGAGACCTTAATGCAGATCTGTAAATCCCGTACACAAACCTTTTAATAACAGAACTTAAATGTCTGTTATGACATGCTATTTAAAACATGAAGATGAGTCAAATTGACCATTCTGTTGTCCCTTACTAAATGACCTGCCCAAGTAACAGAGATCGGTCACGAAAACGTCAAAATGACGTCCTTTTTCGTGTCAGCGACCGAGGTCACAAATACGTGTTTTATGATTCTCGGCCTGACGTGCAAAAAACGTCAAAATGACGTTTAAATGACGTAAACGTCATTTTGACGTTAGATTGACGTCACGTCATTTTGGCATCCAGGAATTACGTGCACCATCGCGCCAATATAATTGTAAAATATATTGCTCCATTTCGATTACTTCATTTTTCAATCAAATAGCAGAGGGTGTTGAGGGAAAGATATACAAAGACAATGAATTACGGTATATGCATTTAATCAATGCCAAGTCTTACCTTACTAACAAAAAATAAATCTTACAAGGCGTTAACAAGAGATAACTAGTCTTGGACCATTCATAAGGTCACCATTATTCAATGCCTATCTTACTAACAAAAAATAAATCTTACAAAGCGTTAACAAGAATTAACCCAATTTAGACCATTATAAGGTCACCAAAAAAATATCAGTCTTAACAGAAGAGCAGTCATAATAACAAAAAAAATCACAGATGCTTTGTACATATTTGGTATGTATACAGTATTTATACATATAAAGAAAAATAACTAAACAAAAAATAGATGAATCAGTCCGAGTCTTCATCTGGTTCACTCTCAACCTCAGTGCCAGAACTAGCTGAATTGGCACTATCTTCAGAACTCTCATCATGTTCTGCAAGACTTGAACTTGTTTTCTTTTGAAGACTGACTATGAAAAACCTCTTTATGGCACCATTGAGAGCACACAGGTCTGTGGCCGAGTCCCACAACTTTGTTGCTACACCTAGAAAATACAGGATCTTAGAAAAACAGAAACAAATATACACGGGTATAAACAAGAAGTAACAGAAAAATAACTCACATTGAATCAGCTCCACACACTGGGTTCCATATATGGCATACTTAGTGCCATGTGTTCCCTTCCAGGATATGGCACAACATAACGAAGGCTTGAACAATGCATTCAATGCCGCTTTGGCACAGGCTTGCTCCGTATGAGTGTGTTTAACTTTGCAAAACAGATAGTTTACCTAGTAACAAAATAAAAAGAAATGAAGTATGTAATTAAAAGATCACTCCTATGACTGATGTATATACTACCAACCATGATGCCAAAGTTCTCCGCATTTGACAGATAATCCTCCAGCTGCTTCAAGTGTTCATAGTTGCTAATAGGAAGTTTGGGAAGACCTGAGGGTTGACGTATTGCTGCCTCCTCAGGAAATAATTTATTCATAATTCTGCGCAACATCCCTTTGACCTCCTCAAGCTGAATTGAATTCTCTTGCAGTAATTGATTATTTAAAGATGCTTCAACAGACTTTTTGGGTTTTGAGCGCACAGCTGTAATATTCAATAACTTAATTATTGTTATCACTTTGAAAATAATGGCTACCCTATGATGTGCCTTACCTTTCCCTTGTTTTTGAACCTTAGGAGATTTGGAGATTCTACCTGATGGTTCTCCAGTGGGTTTTTCCTGATCAGCCAATTTATGTGCTTCTTTGCCTAAAAAATAAATTTTCAAATTAGATTCAATTGAAGATAACAATGAGCACAAACTCTACTTCATTTACTCAATAGAGTAACCATACCTGATTGAACTAGGTTACAGGCAATGTTGGCATCTATGCCGGAAGCATTAGCAATTACATCAAAAGAATGTTGATCAAGATTCCCATCCATTTTAAGTGTAAGTATATTTTCAACACCTGTTGATTCCAAAGTAAGATAAGAACAGTATTTCATTTTTCAAACTGTATAAATAGCCATAAGAAGTTGAAATTTAAAATATTATTGATTGTAACATTTTGTTACAGTTTACCTGATTTTTGCTGAACATCCACATTACAGATAGATCAACTGCACTTCCAGAACTTCCTTTCAAGGCAGAGTCAGCAGAGATGGACTTTGTTGCAGGCAACATACTGGGGGAACCTGTAGTACCTGGGGCTAGAGAAGGAAAATTAAAACTAATCTGAAACCAAAACTTCAGTAGAAATTGAACAAAGATACATACCCTCATTAATTAGTACTGTAGCTGATGCTGGTCGAGAGGCAGTGATGTCTGAAGAGAGTGATAGAAATATTCAAACATATAAATATTAATGATAGGAGCTATTTAAACAGATCAATGTACAATGCATACCATTATTTTGTTGTAAGGGTGGCAACTTGACAGAAGCAGCAAGACTTTGAGCAAGTGTGCAAGCTATCTGACTGCCAGTGGGACCTGAGCTAGTTGAAGCCATATTTGGCAGGGTGACCACTGAGGTGGGCATCATGGTGTTCAAACCAGTACCTATAGAAGGAGGAAATAAAAGAAAGGAAAAAACAATATAGTGACATAGTTATTAAATCTAATGGAAGTGATTACATAAAAGACATACCATTCTTCGCAGAAAAGGTTGGAACTTCAGGTGTAGCAGAGAAACCTGAGCCAGAGATTGGGTATGGAATGCTTTTATTTTTAGAAACTCTAAATGTCCCATTTATGATTTATTTTCAATAGTGAAGCAACTTCAGGAGAGGGGAAGAGAGAGGGAGAAGGGTTATAATAAAAAGATGGTCAAAGCCTTATAATATTAAAATCTGTAAGTAATATACTATTTTTAAAAAATGATCAGTTCTTTTGCCATTAAGTAATAGTTTCAGAAAATTTAGACCAAAAAAGTAAAAGCTATCTTTTAGAATTCAAAGAAGAACAAAATCACTGAGCTTTGGGAGGGGGGAGGGGAAAGGTGAAGGGGGAGGGAAGGTCTGCATAAAGGCAGGGCCTCAGATCAACCTGCCACCAGTGTACCTCCTCCAGTCTAACTGTTACTATGCTTGCTTTTGTGTCGGAAGTCATTTTGTGTTTTGTTGTTCGTGTGGCTGTAAGTGTGGTGTGTAAAGTGACCGAAAAAGTTTGTGCGAGTTTTACTACCATGTCATCTGCGGGTAAAATGTATGCTCTGGTGAAGTGGCTCTCGGGGGATGATGAGGGCACCTTCACCCACAACATTGATGTCAGTTGGATTAGAGACTTCAATGCCAACAATTTTGCGGAGGAGGACTCTCATCTAATAGAGTGGAGAGTTCCTCCCAAACCCAGAACGGGATGGCCATTGCTCGACGGCAAAGTGTTATTTGTCAGTGGTAAGTTTCTCTGTGCTTGCTCACATCACCTGCCTGTTCTGGGGCCATTAGATATTAAATCAGGTAGATCATCCCCATATGTATGGTTTTCTGATTGCAGCTAACCTTGATTTTCTGAAGGGGAAGATGGAAAACTTACAGCAGGCTGCTCAACCTGCTGCTCAAGTTATAGACCCTCTCAACAATGCTCGTAAGTTAGTTTCATTGTACAAATCTTTACAGTATCGCTATTTAACTTAATGGATAGATCTTTCAAATTTTGCAATTTTTAACTATGAAGTGTTGCCCCATGTAGCTCAAAGTTAACACCTAAAACCCACAACTACTTTCAGCATGTTTCTGCTATGTACCTCACCAGTTCAGTGTTTATTCCAGAGTTGCAAGCTGCTATCCAGCAGGCTGTACAGGCGGCAATGGCTGCTGTTGCTGCGCAGGCTCCACCTCCACCTCCACAGGCTCCACCTGTACCTCCAGCAGTAGACCCAGTCCAGCCAGCAAATGCTGTGATCCACGTGCCACCAACTGCACAAAACAAGGTGATTTATTAGCCATCAGTAGGTCCCGCCCAGGGTTGTTAAAGTTACAGTAACGCAGTAACGAAGTTACTGTAACGCGTTACTCGTTACTGTAACGATAACGATAACGCGTTATATTTTCATTTGGGCTGTATCGGTAACGCGTTATCGTTACCATCGTCAGTAACGAGACGTAACGTCGATACATTTTACTCGTTACATGGGATATATTTGACGGATACACTTAATTTGTTGATGATGATGCGAAGGGAGTTAAAGTTTAAGCGTTCTGCAGCAATCGTGCAATGTTTTTCCGTGAACACCACGGAGCAGAAGGGGGGGAGGGGTGGGGGGTGGGGGGTCAGGTCTTAAATTATGACTTCTCAGCTTAGCTGGGCGCGGCGCTTTGGGCCGCTGGACTGCGGCGCGGGACTGGGAGAGGGAGGAGGGGATGTTGTGACTCCCCGCGCTGGCTCGCTGGCCGAGGAAGTGCGGTATGGTGACAAGGAGACCGCTTCGTATCAGCGCCAGCCTCTGGGACAGACATATGCGTATGCGTCAGCCGTAGGTCAGCAGTCCTTTTGCTCTCCTTACCGCCACCGGCGTGTTGCCTGGTGGAGTGGTGAAGGCAGGCTAGGCGGAAGGGTAAGAGGGTAAGGGCAGGAACAGCAGGTGACAGCTGCCTTCGGTCACACTTGATTCAGTCAGTCACTGCAGTGCGTCGCCTTCGTTTCGCTCCGCCGAACTTATCTAGAGTCGAGGGGGAAATGACTAGGGGACACAGCGTACGAGTTATTTCAACGTATTTCGGTTATTTCGCGGTATTTGGGTGGTATTTCGCGACTATTTCGCCATTATTTCGCATTTATTTTGCGGGAGGTGTAAGACTTATTTCGCATGTAATTTCCCCCTTGTCTAGAACGTTAAAAAAAGTTGCTCTCTTTGCTAGATTTCATTGTACACAACATTACGAAGAATATTTCTTAAAGAAATTTGGCTTTAGTTAACATGCTTTTTTTACGTATTAAATACCCCTTATTATACATTAACACCTTACTGTTTCGTTCTAGAAATTATTTTAAAATATTAATTTCATGTATCGAGTAACGAAGTAACGACGTTACCAGTAACGTAACGCGTTACAATTCTCCGAAGGCTGTAACGGTATCGGTAACGCGTTACCGAGGGTAGAGTAACGAGGTAACGGTATCGCGATACATTTTCAAAGTAACGTTAACAACCCTGGTCCCGCCCCACCTCTCCAGTTTCCCTAACTTAATTTATTTTTCTCTTTTGCAGGTCCTCATAGGTAGAGCACTGCATGTGGACAGGCAGGTTTATGAGAGCCATGTGCAGCATTGCCAGTCACCCGGCATAATTACTGGCACCCTCCTCCGGCAAGCTTTCAGCCGCAATAGGCTGATAAGGTCTAGTTATGCTGGCCAGAAGAGGGGGCAAGACCGGGTAGCAAAGCCATGTCTGAAGAAATATCAGAAAATGAGAGACATCCAAGGTATGCTTCTGAAACTGTTTGCACTTAATCTAGCGTTAATATTTATTTTATCTTGAATTATATTGTTTCAGGATATGTAAAGAACAGGTTCCCGAGTATAAGCCAATCGGCTTTCTGTCTCCTTGTTGGGCGCTACTTGGGTGAGCGCCCAAACAGAAGGGCAGAAACTACCGTAAGTTCATTCTAAATACGAATTCATTTTCAACTCCCCACTGATTCTAATACTAAATTGTCCTTTTCAGTACATTGACACTAGCGGCAGTGAAGAGGAGCAGGATTGATTGAATGTGATCCCATTCTCCTTAATTGGAAGATGTTTGTTTCACATCACATTTGCTCGCTAGATTTTAATTTGCATGTTAGTTTTAAGATATGTGACAAGTTTGCTCCTGTGAAGCTTGGCTTAAATTTGAAGTTAATTTTAATGCATGTTCTTGATTGACAGCGACAGAGATAATTTGAAAGATGAGTTTGAGTAAAATTTGTAAAGTTAATTTTTGCACGTATGTACTTGGTCTATCGAGACTTCGGTCAATGACTTTGAAAGAATAAAACCTAATGACAACCTAATGACGCTTCTTTATTGATTTTAAACTCAGCATTAACATTATTTACCTTTCTTCATCTCGGCATGTAGATATTGTCCACTTGTCCATGTACAATTCAAACTCGAACACTTCAATGCCAACACCTTTGCTGAGGAGGAGTCTCATCTGATAGAGTGGAGAGTTCCTCCCAAACCACATGTAGATATTGTCCACTTGTCCATGTACAATTCAAACTCGAACAC